TTCTGCAATTGCAAATATTCTCTTGTGCTGTGTTTTAGGGCTGCAGGTGCCAAAAAGGCAGCCTTTTGGTTTCTCTCTCTCCTGGGGTTTCATCATCAACAGTATCAGCAGAAATGTGTGTAGCTAACTAGCTGCTAGGGACAGAAACCACATCACAGTGCTGTGACATCTGTGTTATAACAGCTTGTCATTGCATCACCATATTTTGATGAAAGGCTAACATCACCACATTGCAATGTCCTGTTTTAGTCCTGAAGGTAAGGGGCTTTTAATAACCTGCAATGACTTGTAAGTTTACTTAGAGGTGGCTCCAAACCACCAATATAATACTTACAGGCTCAGCTCTGTTTCAGTACAAAGCAATTATAGTAAGCACAAATGCTACTTTTAATGACTGGTTTATTCTCCTTCTGAGGTTTCTACTATTAGTTTGGTGGTTTAAAAAATTTCAAGAATACAAAGTTGGAAACCAGAAATCATAATTTAAAGTATGCAATGATTTTAAGGAAAGCTCAAGTCCAACCTAAAAGGAAAAAAAAATTACAATGCCACTTCACTACGTTCCATTTCAAGCAGAATTGGTGTTATTCATATTTATTTTATTTCTTTATGTACTTTTTCATACTAGACCTTTAGGCTTGAAATCATTCAAGCTCCTCATTAGAATTATAACTTTGCCTGCTATCTGCAAAGTGAGTTACAAATACCATTTAAAACAAGGCCAAATTCTCCTAGATGATGTGCACGTGAAGCATGAGACATCTTTTTCTCTTACTTTCCTCCCCAATCCACACTGCTGTCTTGCAGAAGTGGGACAGATAAAGTGAATACAGGATTGTTTTTTACTTCACCATTATAAGGGACTATGGGTTTAACTGTAATGTTTCTGTTTTAAATGTGTTCATGTTGTAATAATCTTCTGTGCCTCAGTTTTCTTTACTAACTTGTACATGGGGATGGAAGGTCAAATAGAAGCCCTTGCTAGGTTACAGAGCTATCTACAGGAGACAAGATGGAGCTCTTGCATCAACAAGAGAATTGAGCAGCTAGGTTGACATTTCAGTAGGGTGGGGCTGCAGGTGACACTCAGGAGGCCTCCAGAACCAAGAGGGAAATAAACCTGACAACGGATGAAGCAGCCAAGAAAACAGGGTAGCAGCCTGTGAGAAGGATATCTGAAGAGTGTGAACAGCTGGGCAACTTTTGGGCTCAAGGCTATATGGACTGGAGAGAGATCCACTGACCTAACTGTTGGGTATGTAGAGCTGGACCAGGGGCAGAGGGACTGCTTGACCATCTGACAGGAGGCAGAGGACCTTCAGTAAATGCCTTTCTTGAAGAGAAGTTGTCTGTTTTGCTGTTTGAAACTTCATGGTGCCTCTCCCCATCAAGAAGTGAAGTCCCACCCTCAGGAGCTGAACTGGAAGGTAGCTCTCCAAGGGAGGGCTAATCAAGAGCTAGAAGCTGAAACACCAGGGTGCTGGAATCAGAAGCCAAAGCTTCCCCCCAGCTCTA